CCTCGGGAACAGTATTTTTTTCTTGATAAAAGGTAGCCTAGGTCCTTTTCTGTGCCCCTCACAATGTGTACAAAATTTCATGATAACATTTATAATAATAATTAGGATAGTAAGAATCGTTATAGGTACATATTTATGTTTTGATGTAACGATTTCAATTTTTTTTGCCAGAGATACATTAGCAAGAGTAATTTTAACAACGGAATCGGTTGAATAGACACGATGTTTAAAAGTGTCCATTACTATTGTTTTCATTACTATAAACATTTATAAAAATATCTACGTACCTGAGTCCTATACATATAAATTAGTTAATTAAACATCCAATTTATCTATTTATACTAAACGGCGTAACGTCATTATGGTTGCGGTAATATAAGCAAAGTACTTTGTGCCTCTTTTTGGATTTAATTTTTATAATCGTAATATACGATGTCAATTTTTCATTAATCTACTTAAAAGATTCTCAATTCGACAGTACATACAATTACATATAGTTTTCCGGTTATGTTCGAACATAATTAGTCTAAATCGTAACACAATATCGAAACTTTTTATTGTGTATTAAAATACGGTCCAAATTTATCTTCTAAACTTAATTAAAGTAACAATTAATGACATGACTAGGCTAAATAATAATTACGATATCAATGCGAATATTTGTTTTCGTTACGGTTTGATCTCAAAAACTATTAATTTTAATTAAATTAAACATATAAATTTGTATCTTATTTATAAAGATATTTTTGAGATTGCGTTATCAGTTGTTATGAAGAATTATTTTATAGTTAATAATTGATTGTTGCATTGTAATTTCCGTTATATTTGAACTATTAAAGATAAGTTTTTATTATTTAATGAACAAGAAATAAACTGAAAATAAGAAGTACCCACCTTAAGGTCTGTTTTTCCGTCATCAGTTTCCGCGTCACTAGCACTGGCAGGTTTAGGACTGGTGCATGGCGGAGTTTTCCGATCGGAATTTGCAGCGACAGCGGTTTTTGATGCGCTTGCCGTCCCCGACGCCTTGCTGCTGGGTGTATTTCCAGTGCCACCCCCAGTTCCTTGTTTGGTCGACGCTACACCCCCTTTACCTTGTCCCACATTTCTTTGGATAGCCGGCCCCGACTTGGACTCTTTAGCGCCTCCTTCTTCTTTACGTTTCTTCCTACGGGATTCTTCGTCGTTGCAACTTCCATCTTCACCAGTGTCTGATACTTCGGAATAATTACGTTTCGAGCTTTCATCTGAAGCCGTCGCACCGGTTGCAGGTGGCGCCAGGCCACCAAGAGGATCAACGGCGTCGTTAACGTCGTTCGGCGACGACGCTGCTTCGGAATTTTTCACGTCTGGTGACGACGCCGAGTCGGACGACTCCTTCACCGATTTAAACTCGTAAACGTCCTCGGATGAAGAGGCGGGGGCGGCTGCGACGCCGCTTGATGCGGACGAGGTCGTACCGCTGGTGCCTTTGTTGGACGTCGATGATGTGTCCATGGTTTCTTCGGATGATGGCATTGGGTTCTTTTGTTGTTGTTTGCTGGAGTCAATGACCTTCTTATCATCCCTCGAACGAGCAGGTGGTCTCGACGATGTACTTGATTCTATAAAATAAACAAACCATTGTTACATAATGTACCAAAACCGGGTTTAAACGGAAAGAATGATGCCATTATTTATTTAATAAAAATTTTATAATAACTATAATGAATATGTGTATCATCTGATATTCATTTCCTCTAGTGTATCCGAAGGGGGGGGGGGTTAAGGATGAGATATACGATTTCCACAGTAAGTATTCTTAAGAATTATTAATCATATTCGAACGAAGTTGTCTATAACAATACCAACCAAAAAATTAATTTACACTGGGTGCGTTCCAATATATAACCCAGCATACTGGCCAGTGCTGATGACGTCATAAATCGACGCCATACTGTTGATTCGTTTCGAAATATACTGGCCAGTGAGTTGATGTTAAATTGACGTCATATTGAGAATAGTGTTTGCGCTTGTTTGCAACAATTTTGCTCCAAAAGTTATTAAAGTTTCTTACAATAAAAAATTCCTCAAAGTCTGATACACATACGCCCGTTTGAATAGTCACACTTGTCTCACCAGTGTAATATGGTGGCACACCAGTACAATATGGCGTCGATTCAAGACGCCATCAGCACTGGCCAGTATGCTGGGTTATATTTCGGAACACACCCACCATAATCTAAACATTTATTTCTATTTTCATTGCATGAACAGTAAGTGGCGTCACATATTATGGTAGTTACGTAATTTATTAATACTTTAAAAATTGGTATTGTATGCATTTTCACGTGTATGTAAATCTAGGACACTTTATATATGGACAGTCTAATTAAAGAGCAATTTCAGATTACCTATTTTATATTTATGTCACAGCAATGACTACAAGGCTGCCAACATCAAATATGAATCGGTTAAGGTTAAATGCACGATTGGAAAATAAATACGTACCGTTTTAGAAATGGTAAAAATAAATTCAATCGAACTATTTCGGTAACTGTTTATTAAGGATTCCCTTAATGCCTAATAAAAATAAAAATAAAAAGCAATTTAAATGTTTAAACATTAAATACGTTTTTATAAATCCTCTTCTACTCAGAAATACTTTAAATTTTAACAATAACACATAAAGTTATTTTTTTATAAATGAAATCTAACACATTCGAATATCTTCGATCAAAATACAAATTGAATACAGTAGGTCTCTGACAAAAAAAAAACAAATTAGGACTATAATCTTATAAAATGTAAAAATATTATCCAACATATTGAAAGTTCATTATACAATCAACTTAATTATCATATCGCTATCTACTGATATTTACTGCTAATTGTATATTGTTCTTTATTAATTACCATATTTCTAGGCATTATTTATGGCTACTTTGAAATAAGTATTTATTATTATTATTTCATAAATTAATTTTTATTTAATGACAGTAAAATGTATGAGTTAAAAGAGTGAATAACTGCTTAATAAAATATTACGACGATGAGAAAAACTTTTCGCATTGATTTTAATAATTTAGCAGACGGCTTCTCATTCAAATTCTTATAAGTAACTTTACTTCTTCTGTAATTAATATTTATTTCGTACAGCTTCCCCGGATCATTAAAATTCTTTTTATCAAAGACAGCTTATGATTCTAATTTTCTAATTATTGCTTAATAAGTCTTTGTAATTATTTTTTTTTAATTAACGTCGACGTCTTTCCGTGTAAAAGTCATTTTTTGAAAGTAACTTGTTAATTTTGAAATACAATTTAAGGAGAACGTACTTCCTCCAATAAGTTCAAAAAAGGGATAGCAATTGTTTACTTTAGAGGTCTCACATCCGATTTGAAAATTAAATATGTTATACAATTCATAGTTCTGATTAGGGGCTTTAAAAAAAAGTAAATAAACAACCAAACTGAAACCATTCATTTACATATCTGTAAACAAGAGAAATACACAAGACAAAACGGTAGGAAAAGACAACACACATAATCAAAAGGGCGTTACTTAACCCAACCTGACCCTAGTTACCTTTTATTCGATTGTTTAGGGATCATAAGATTATAAGACATAAGATAACGTTTCGCTTTTTCATTTCCTAACAAATGAAGCCAACACCTGGTAGACTAAACAGGCAGTGAAAATTCTATTTTCAAGTGTATAATTTCATGTACCATCCAAAATAAAGTGAAAAGCATTAGTGCACTTTTATCACGTACTGTACATAAGTAAGCATTGCATTGCAGACGCATAATAAAACGGCTTTACTTAACAGAAACGACATGTTTAACGAGCACGTTCCATGCATCGTGGCTTTCCTTTCAATAAACATAACATGTGAGGAACTACCTATTGCACTCCCGTTTTTAAGACGTTTTGCGGTAGGTACATGGTACAAAATTTTATTTTGACCATTATTCTAATCGATATAAATGTCTCAAGATAATAAAAATGAGAGTTTCGATTAGAACATATACCGTATGCGGATTTTAGTGAATATGTGAATATGCCGCCCTTATCAATTGCAATAAGGGTGACGCCAATATCACCTAGACTATCAAGACCAGAGCGCTCTGACGTCAACGGGCTAATTAGTTATCGTAAGAAGGCGGTTAATCAGTTGATTGCACTCATTTTGTATGCATTTATTCGTCAAAGAGTTACAGGCTTATAAAGAGCGTGTTACTTTTTAAAATTCTGATGAATTCATAAATGTTTTTAACAAATGGGAACTTCCTGAAAAATGGCACAAGTTAGTAAACAGTCAAAATGAATTAATTTTATTTCAAATTAAAAATGTACCGTGTCCTATTATTACTTATATTATTTAATAATTCGTACAGATCTTAAAATAGCGAGTCACACAAAAATCGTAAAGTGATTTAAATTATGTTTTTAATAAAGGAGCATTCGCATTGATGGAGCGCCACTTCACTTTGTACTGCTCGCCTTCTTATGATGACGTCACGCCAGAGCACCGTGGCCTTCATAGTCTAGGTGGTATTGGTGACGCGCGTACATCCACTGGCTGTCGAAAGTACGAAAACACATTTCGCATACGGTATAATATACGCTATACAACAGAGTGCTAATGCTTATCGTAAAATCACAGTATTGTACGTTGGTTAGATAGATGGCGCTATTTTTCAGACAGATCAGAATTGAATCAAGTCCCAGAAATATTCTAGTTTCGATCAGCTAATTATTTTACATTTAGAGCTAGATGTACCATTCATTCAAATTGAAGGCATTCTAAATTTCGAGAAAAAATCAGCGACATGTTTCCTACCATAACCTAACGTTGTATACCGCAACCCTTATCATTTTATACAAGACAATCAGGGAATCCAGTCTAACTATACCTTAACCGAAGTCTGAAGTGCATAGCATACCTAATGATTCCATCAGCGGGCATTCGCTCACAGTCATTACCACATCCTATGACCCTACGAGAGCTGAAAATATTGTCATTTAAACACGTCAAAAGATTGGTGATTTGTATTAAAAATTTCTGTTAAATGACAATATCCTGGATATAGAAAGTAGCACATTATTATTCAGACGTTTTAATAGTCAGCTAATTTAAGAATGTCGAATCTTCAGACGAGGAAGCCTGTACCTACCCTAAAATCACAGATATTAGTATCTACCTTATTACTGCAAGTATAGTAATGATAAGCTCTCTGATATGTTTAAGATTTACACATTATTTTCAACCTCGTTAAATAAATCATGATTATGCGCAAAGCGATCATCCGAAAAAACAATAATTGTGTATATGTATAAGGTTTCAATGATGGAAATAAACAAAACTAAAGGACCATGAAAAAACGTTTTGGTTGGAAAGGTTTCTCTGATTATCTTTTACTTATTCCATACCAATAGAAACCTTACATCAGTCGCTTTGCGCACAATTATCAACTCAGCATTTTATATCTGTTATATAACAAGTGTTTGATTGGTTCATAGATCCACCTTTCATGCGGGAAAGATAGAATTAGTGAATTTTTATACAGAAAATTTTATACCCACCTAATTAAGCATCTAATAGTACAATAATAATTACTTCCTACTACAGAATTCGATTTTTTTAATTAACAATTAAGGTCAATAACACCGTGTTTTAAACTTCTTTTTTTTTCAAAAATCTAGAGGCTACAGACGTGAATTTAAAAATAAAAACAATTTTTGAAACGTTACGCTGGTGCAGTTGGAATAATTCTGGAATTAGGTTACCTGTTCATGTGCACTTGTTTATCACTACAATCAACACGTAAACGATAATAAAAGAACTCTTTTGTATTCTTGTTTCACCATAAAACGCGCGCACTACAAAGGTACTTATTATAATTTTTATATTTTCAAAAATTTATGGCCACAATAATAATGAGGCAGACTAATAAACGTTTTAATCGAAATGGTTTTAGTTCTGGTAATTTTTGCTTATTAACAAGGAAGGAAATAATGTATTAGGGAGGACACACATACATACATACATACATAGAATTACATACGAAACGTTTCTGCATGAGTGTGGATGTTTATTATATATGTATGAACATTTTATCAAGAAGACCGATTGGCGTGACGTAGACAAGGGGTCGGCAAGTAATTTTAGGTGGGGTCCGGATGTTTTCAAAATTTTTATCGAGGTTCTCTAAAACAAATGATAAGAGCGGGACTCAAAGCTCAAACATACTTTGTTATAAGGCCGTCAGTCCTAAGACTGGTTGGACACGCACCTCCACTCTTTCCTATCCTGAGCTAATCTTCGCCTTTCCCTAAAACTAGAACAAACTCACATCCTTAACTATTTGCGAACAGTAATCTAATCTAGGTCTACCTCTACCCCTCCTAACTGCCGTTTCTGCTTCCAATATGTCTCTGACTAGACCAGTGATTCCTAACCTTTTTAATATTGTTACCCCTGTGACATTATTATGAAAACTGATTTTACCCTGACCTTAAAATGTTATCAATACAAACAACACAAGCAAATACAGATATCTTTAATAATCACAAATTGCACATCAGTCTTACAATTTTATATACCTAAACAATAAATTAA